GTACAGCAAATACAACAACAGATAAGAAGACAACTAAAGTAAGAAATCAGTGAAGAAATTAAAATGTCATTAACAAGTCTTGAGCATTCTTTCAACAAAGACCAGCATGCAAATGATGTTTGGTAGTCCTTAAAACAACAGCACAGTCTGGTCACATTTTTGGCTATCAGTGGTTTGCATTCATTTGAATTGTTTTGTGAGCATCACAATGTTATGTTAGCGTCACATACTCATAAAACCCATCTGTTCAAATACAGATATATTGCTGCTATAAAATAAGACATATATCAGGCTGCATTTGATTAATCTCTTAATTTAAAAATGTGTATCAATATTTACACTACAATAAAGCCATTTTTCCAATGAATTCTAGTAACATATTTAAGTAGTATAGTGTCTTTCTCGAGCTACTCAAACATCAATGGTTTGGCACAAACATCTACAATCACTGTCTGACAGGGAAACACTGCAAAGTAAATAACTTAAGCACTCCAAATTCAAAGCAAAATTTGAAGTAACCAGTAACAAATACTGTACGTGTATACAAATAATTGACTGTGCTTTCTGCCTTTTTAGATTTCAACAAAAGTGGGAGTATATGGTACAGTATGGGGCTTGTTAGGGTCACACCCCCTTTAAAATTAATTTTAACATTTTCTTGTGGACTTTCTTTTTTTAGATAAAGCCAATGATCATGTACATAAACTTTTGGTGTATATAAAGATAGCACAGCAAGACTCGCAGCACACCATTTGGTACTAAAATCTACATAAATATAGCTATGCACATCAGTTAGTCTATATAACATGACATAAATCAAATCCTTACCTCTCCATTCGACTATAAGGCATATGAATATAACCGTGCAGTCGTGGTAAACGTTAAGGCACCCAGCACGTCTGCCACAGCTTGGGATGGAGGTCAGCACCCTAATAAAATAGCGTTAATATACAACACATATAAGTTCATTTATGTACCTGCAATAGTATCATATGTTATTGTAGACTGATTGTTTTATTCATTTCTGAGCTATGTCACATACATATAAAAGCACTAGATTGTAGCAAGCAACACCTGACGACTCCAGTTCTTTATATGTTAATGAAAACACTCTATTAGTAAACAACTTATATAATTATTCGCATTTCATCATTTATGAATCGTTTAATCAGTATTCTCTGCCTGACACAACAGTCGACTGTCGACCTGACAGATTATAAGAAGTTGTATTCGTGTTGAAAAGTAGTTTTTGACTGAATACCGAAGCCATGAATACCGAATTGTATTATATTCAAACATTTTGTCTGTAGAATTTATAAATTGAGTTGTGTTTTACCTTCTCGTCTGACAAGATTCTCCGAGCGCGCATCATGTTATCTAGCGGCCTTGACACGTGCTGTTAAACGCTGTGCTTGTGGGCCAATAAGGAATCTTCTAGATATTTCAACAAACTAAACTTAGGGGAGCCCGAGGCTAGTTGTTCTCTCACAGGTAGGTAGGTTGACTTATCAGTAACTTTTATAGTAGATTTTCAATTATATGTCCAATTTATACAAATGTTTGTTTTCTAAAGCAGGACCCAGGACCTATTTTATTATATTTATTTTTTTAAGTTTGATCATATTTTTGCTACTCTTGGGTGAACCAGAACATAATAAAAGCACACAAGCCTCAGGGCTATAATTAAATCAAATTAAACCATAGGCCTATTCAATTGTAATAATTCAGTGCTTGCCAAACACAAGTTACTAGTTACTAATATTAAAATGGAAAAATGGAAAAGTTGTGTTTTGAAAATTGTAAATTGAAAAAA